TACCTTCTTTTAAAGGTTTTTATTCTACCAAATAGCCATCTACCATTGCTGTAAAACAATTTTAATCAAGTTTCCAAAATGAGAAAAAAAATAGCTTAAGAAATACAAATAATCAGAGTATATTGCAAGGCAGACTCCATAAAGAGTCACACAGATGTGTTTCAATGCACTGAGACACCAGACAATGGAAAACCTAATGCTAAACAATTCATGTACTCAAGTGACTTGGGTGCCAACAGAAATCTAAATTATAATCCTGGAAAAGAAGAACAAAGTGGACTCCGTTATATAGTTTCAACCTCTTTTGGTTGTACCATTCAGTAATCCCTGGACTACAGAAAAACACTGAGACAGAATTGGATTAAGTTAAAAAAATTTAAATTAAACTGTTCTTATGAAGTAAAGCATTACATAAAATACTAAAAACATACACAACTCAGGAAGGATGCTTCACTACAAAATCACCCAACGTTGCCCTTAACATTTACACCTGTGTGATCTTTATAAGCAGAACATTACAAATTTGGGATTGTGAGAACCAGGCACAAATCTGAAACCCTGGATTTATGGATTTAAAGTTTCAATCATAAACTGTACTCAAGTTGTAATCAGAGAACACAACTTTATGACATCTCCACTTGACAAAAAGCAGAGTTGCAACACAATGTATACATTTACACATAAAATTCAGGAAGTCGGGCTTTTTATCTATAATTTGTGTAGCATAGAAAGCACAATATTTGTGTTTACTTAGTTTAAAGAACATACTACAAGCTGTTATATATGCTATTACTGAAAACTGTATTCCGCACTGAAGAGAAATTCCATAAAAAGGCTGAAGTTAAATAAAAATGGAAAAAACCCGCAAAAGAACCAAATGTTTTCTGTCGAACTCAATTTCACTAACTTTTCCAGATGAACATTACTCTGAAATTTTCAGATAATCACAGGATTGACAATAATTCTCTGCAACAACTGCAAGCTTCTGAAATTGCTAGTGCAGATTTGCTATATCCGCTCTTTGTTGGCCTAACAGTTAAAAATGTACAGCAAGGCATGTTACTTGGTGTCAGAGTTGTAATGTTCACAGAATGCACAACTTGGTATCTTGCAGTCTGCGTACACACTGGTGGACAGTAACTCTGAATCAGTTACAATAAACTCTTGAACACTGCAAATGTCAACACTGGGCATTACGAGAAGTGCACCATGAAGTCTCAGCAAGCTTTAACTCTTCTGAAATTCCCTTATGCTGTAAACAGTCTAAATGATGAAAGTAAAAATGTTTTTCCATGTAACTGGTTCTAACACCTCATCACTCAAACAATTCAAGTCATTCACTAAGACGTTAAGACGTGAGTCGTCCATAACGTAAGTGCACTTTCTCTTTGTATACAGGCTTTATCAAAACACATTGTTAAATCAACTCTGCTAAGCAAGGAATTGCAAAGATCGTATTGTCATGAGCTCAGAAAAAAAACCAAGGGGAGGGGGGGGGGAGACAAAAGACAGTTTTACTGGGCTAATGGGTCAGCACCATCAGGGTCAGCTGAAGTCAGCAGGCTTATAGGTATTCATCTTTACCCACCATGTATTCGTGAAGTCTTTGCACAGAGCAAGATCATATCACACCCAGTCAAGAAAGCAAGTATTTGGTCCTTGTCCTAATACTGAGCCAAACTGTGCTCAGCACAATCAAATAGGTTACACAGAAAAAAAGACAGATGGGTGGCACTTGAAATCAACTGACCTCCCAGAGTGGCTTTGTACTTGAAGGTTATTTTCCATTCCAACCTGTATACTCGCTGTTCTAGCTGCACAACACAGGATCAGCAATAACAAATCCTACGTTGCTGAAGTCTTCCAACATAGGGAAAAATCTTCCTTGACTTAGGACAGTTGCAAACCTTATTTAGATTAGCGGAGCAACATAAAATACGCTTTGTGTAGCCCTAAATTTGGCTCTGATGACCCAAAACATTTACGAAAAAAATCTAGATTTTTCTTCTGGCAGTATTCTGAAACGACTGCAAACAAATAAACAAGTCAACTCAGTAAGTCATAATATTAGCTACAGAAATATAAAACTGAATGGGTTTTATTTTGCTGTATGAGTTTAGGGTTGTTTGGGGTTTTTTTCAACCTGCAAATACGGCAGGCATTGCTGGCCCACCTATGCCTACAAAACAAACCACTTGCTGATCCCAGATGCATTTGAACAGACATTCAACCTGTTTTTTATTTAAGATTAACCTATTTTCAAGGCTGGGTCTAGAAACATCACATCGACTGTTGTTATTAACAACAGCTCATTTTTACAGTTTAAGAGAAACAGCCAATACTAGTCACACTACAGGGACAGTGCATTTTTTAGTGCTAGCTATGATGTTGTCTGGGACTCCAAGCAACGGTCGACCCACAGGGGCAATCTTACTTCACAGGAATCAAGATATAACTGCAGATCTAATCTGTTAACAGCAGCTCCAAGAGAGACAACATTCAGCATTTAAGATATCTGTGGACAACAAAGACGTTTTAAGCAGTGTGTTCTATTAATTACCTAAACTTGCATGGCTGCTTTCAGTAAAAAGTCATGTTCTTGCTAGGTTGTATAACTATTTCAGTTTTTTAAGATAATTGCTTATTTGAAAACCTGGCAGCCCCACTGGCATTCACACTTGAAACAATCTTGTTAAAGTCAAATAGATTACAAAATTCACATCTTAAGTAAACCTGTTTATAATTCCTGAAGTATGCAAACTAACTGCAGACTGCTTTTCAGGACAAATGCGATCCTCAGGTTACATCCAGCATATGAATCCCACTTTCAAAAAACAAAACCTCCCAAACCTGCAAAGACTTTTACAAAAACTGCATTGATGCTGTGCACAAATCTATGGAGAACAGAGAAATGAAAAGCACCCCTTTCAGACTGAGATTGCTGGGAAAGCAGCGGACAACATTAAAAAGCAGACACAGTCATTTTACCTTTGGGAGAAATGCCTAGATTAAGCTTGCAGAGAGAGTAGCTGATAGCATACAATACTGCAGCTGCCAAAAGACCGGTGAAGACAAGACAGTAGTCTCACCTCTCTGACAGCTGGAGAGAAGACCTCAATGAAACTTATGTCTGGGATACTTACAGGCCAAATGCTGACATAAAAAACTCTGCATCTAAAACAGACCCATGGGTAAAAACTTGCAAGAAATATCAGCATTTTGTCTCTTCACAGCAACTAGGTGGAGCAAGAATCTGATATTCTAGCCAAGGTGCTGGCACTACTTTTTACACTTGGGAGCCTTTACTTCATCTTTTGTATCCTCCTCTGATAACCACACAGTGTCTTGCAGCTCATCCATAAGGAATGATTTCAAGCTCTGTATCTAGACACCAGTGGCACTCTTGCACATGTAACCTTTTTTTTGGTGAGGTTTGCAGTCACCAACCATACAAAAAAAATGTGAAGTCAAACTGAGTTGCCTCATGCAGACATTTCAGCAAGAATTTTAGAGAAATTCTATGGAAAATGAAGTAAGCGCTGAATCTTCTTCAGGGAGCTTCACTCTCTAGAGTATTTTAGCATAGCAATGTCTACATCCTTCACAAGCAGCAAGCTCTGGGTTTACAGAGCTCCTACCTCACACTTTGATTACACCTTTTCTATGATTTGTAGCTTTCTAATCTAAATAAATGAAGTTCTAGTCAATAATTGCATGGAAAACCTCCATGAAAAAGAGAAGAGTTGCTGGAAATAGTGTCAATGATTCAGTAGGCGTCACTGCTTCTGTTGAGCTAAAGGCACCACGGCGCACAAACTTTCACAAGAACGCAAAAAAGACAGACCCTGATAACTCAGTTACCCAACAGTACCGCCATGCTAAGTACCATAACAATAACTAGCACATATAACTACAGCAGAAGGTGCACTTTATTTGTACTGCAAATCTTACAAACACAGTCTAAAGACATGACTTCCCTAAAATAAAGACATCTTTCCATAACCTACTCACCGTTTTTAAAGACGGTTTTAGATCAAGATAACCGTTGGCAATACAGCACTGCGACACAGGTGACTGCATACGTCTTCTACAGTCATGCTAGCTAGCCAGCCAGCCTCCTACTTGCAGACTGAGTCAGCTCGACAGGACAACTCAGAGTTCGAAAACGATCCACAACCACCTCCCGGGCCGGCTCTCAGCGTTGCAACAGGGAGGAGAGAAGCTGGGAGGAGGAGATGAGGCGGGAGGTGTCTCCACTACCCCCGCTAGCCTCAGATGGCAGCAGTCCTCTCCTGGGCCGGGATCGGCCCTGGTACTCGCCCAACAGCGCCCAGAGCAGCCCGGGCGAGCAGGAGCTGCTTTGTCACCGGGAAGGGCCCTCGCCCTGCAACGCTGGAGGCGGGAACCGCGGGCCTGGGCTCTTCTCCCGGTCCGCGCTCCAGCCGGCCCGGGGCCCTAACCCCCGGCTTGGCTGCTCCCGCC